AAGATGTATGTGTGTGTGTGGAGAGAGAGGAAGGGATTGATTTATTTTAAGGAATTGGCTCACATGATTGTGGGGGCTGGCAAGTCTGAAGTCTGCAGGGCAGGCTAGGAAGCTGGGGACCCAGGGAGGAGCTGGCAGTGCTGTCTGGAGTCTGGAGGCAGAATTCCTTCTTCCTCGGGGACCTCTCTTTTCTCTTGGAGCCTTCAACTGATTGAATGAGGCTCACCCATATTATGGAAGGTAATCAGCTTTTATCCATTTATGCTTTTGAGATGGAGTCTGTCACCCAGGCTGGAGTGCAGTGGTGTGATCCTAGCTCACTGAAGACTAGAACTTCTGTACTCCTGCAGTCCCAGCTATTCAGGAGGCTGATCCTCCTGCCTCAACCTCCTGAATAGCTGAGACTACAAGTGCAGGCTACCATGCCTGACTAATTTAAAAAAAAAATTTGGTAGAAATGGGCTGAGCATGGTGGTTCATGACTGTAATCCCAGCACTTTGGGAGGCCGAGGAGGGCGGATCACCTGAGGTCCAGAGTTCGAGACTGGTCTGGTCAACATGGTGAAACTCCCTCTCTACTAAAAATATAAAAATTAGCTGGGTGTTGGCTGGGCATAGTAGCTTACACCTGTAATCCCAGCACTTTGGGAGGCCGAGGTGGGTGGATCATGAAGTCAGGAAATCGAGACCACCCTGGCTAACACGGTGATACCCTGTCTCTACTAAAAAATAAAATAAAATAAAATTAGCTGGGTGTGGTGGCGGGCGCCTGTAGTCCCAGCTGCTTGGGAGGCTGAGGCAGGAGAATGGCGTGAACCCGGGAGGTGGAGCTTGCAGTGAGCCGAGACTGTGCCACTGCACTCCAGCCTGGGCAACAGAGCAAGACTCTGTCTCAAACTAATAATAATAATAATAATAATTAGCTGGGCGTGGTGGCACTTGCCTGTAATTCCAGCTACTCGGGAGGCTGAGGCAGAAGAATCACTTGAACCCGGGAAGAGGAGGTTGCAGTGAGCCGAGATTGCACCACTGCACTCCAGCCTGGGTGATGGAGTGAGACTCTGTCTCAAATTTTTTTTTTTTTTTTGTAGAAATGGAGTCTTACTTTGTTTGCCCAGGCTGCTCTTGAACTCCTGGCATCAAGCAATCCTCCCGCTGTGGCCTCCCAAAGGGCTGAGATTACAGGAGTGAGCCACTGCACCTGGTTTTATTTGGCTTTTGTTTTTACTCAAGGTCTAGTGATTTCACATGTAGGTATTTCAGATTTCTTTTTTTTTTTTTTTTAGGCTGAATTTCACTCTGTCACCCAGGCTGGAGTGCAGTGGCGCGACATTGGCTCACTGCAACCTCTGCCTCCCCAAGTTCAAGCGATTCTCCTACCTCAGTCTTCAGAGTACCTGAGATTATAGGTGCCCATCACCACGCCTGGCTGATTTTTTTCTTTTTGAGGTGGAGTCTCGCTCTGTCGCCCATGCCGGAGTGCAGTGGTGCTATCTCGGCTCACTGCAAGCTCCGCCTCCCGGGTTCACGCCATTCTCCTGCCTCAGCCTCCCAAGTAGCTGGGACCACAGGCACCCGCTACCATGCTCAGCTAGTTTTTTGTATTTTTTAGTAGAGATGGGGTTTCACCGTGTTAGCCAGGATGGTCTCGATCTCCTGACCTTGTGATCCACCCGCCTTGGCCTCCCAAAGTGCTGGGATTAAAGGTGTGAACCACCGTGCCCGGCCACGCCTGGCTGATTTTTGTAGTTTTTCTAGAGACCGGTTTCACCATGTTGGCCAGGCTGGTCTCAAACTCCTGAGCTCAAGTGATCTACCCACCTGGGCCTCCCAAAGTGCTGGGATTACAGGCATGAGCCATCATGCCTAGCCTCAGATGTTAATCACATCTGAAAAATACCTTCATAGCAGCATCTAGACTAGTATTTGACCCAAAATTGGGCACCACAACCTAGACTGACACATGAAGTTAACCATCACAAGCTAAGGGTCTTTACCACTTTAAATCTCTAGGTCAGAGGCAAGGCCAAGGCCAAGGCCAGACCTCCAAGAATCTAGATTCAGACCTCTTGCTGCCCTCCCTCTGGGTGAGCAGAGATGAGTCATGCTGGATGAGGAATCCAGCTCCAATCCAGCTAGCTTTCAACTTCAGGCAGGAAGGGGAGAGTGGGCGGGATAGAGGAGGAGGGCCCCAGGACCCACGACTGTGACCAGGGCTCAGGCCCTGCCTGTGCTCTTCCACCTCTCCACGCTTGGCCACTTTCCCTAAGACCTTTCAAAATGCGCTCTGGGCAGTGGGGAGGGCAGGAGCCGGCCCAGAAAGGGAGCCACAGATGCCCTTCCAGGGGCCTTCCTAGCAGGAGCCAGAAGGAGCACCAAGGGGCTGCCAGACCCCGCAGCCAGGCAACGTCGTTCCCATCTTAGGGCCCTGCTTCTCAGGGCCTGATTCCCCTCCCCAGGGTGGAAAATCAGCGAGCCTTCTGGGCTGCAGAGGAGGGGACAGGGTGGGGGTGGTGTCCTCAGGGCTGGGAGGGGCCTATGCCTGGTTTCTCAGTGGTCACTGAGTTTGTCTATAGCTTCAAGATACTGAGAGGGAGCAGGTAGGAGCTGTGGGAGTGGAGGTGGGTGAGGCAAGACAGTCAGTGCCATGGGCCAGGCAAAGGCCCTGCGCTTCCTGTGGCATCTCAGGCCTCTCTCTCCATCCAGCATCCCTGATCCCACCCTGAGGGTCTCTCTCGCTGGACTCCCTCCCTCAGAGCATGGCCCAGGTACAGACTTGGAGCATTTTGCTGCATACCTGCTCTCAGGTCACCAACCAGCTGCCCACACTCCACCTCTTGCCCATTTTCTTTTCTTTTCTTCTTCTTTTTTTTTTTTTTTTTGAGATGGAGTCTCATTTTGTCACCTAGGTTGGAGTGCAGTGGCATCATCTCAGTTCACTGCAACCTCCGCCTCCCAAGTTCAAGTGATTCTCCTACCTCAGCCTCCCAAGTAGTTGGGGTTAGGCACGCACCACCACGCTCAGCTAATTTTCGTATTTTTAGTAGAGATGGGGTTTCACCATGTTGGCCAGGCTGATTGTGAACTCCTGACCGCAGGTTATCTGCCTGCCTCAGCCTCCCAACGTGCTGGGATTACAGGAGTGAGCCATCGCACCTGGCCTCCCATTTTCTAAAAGAGTCTAATTCCAGCCCAAAGTCCCTCCCCGCTCCATGTCCCCATTACCCTCAGAGAGCCCTCTTCTGGTCCTGGCTCATGGACCGGCCTCTCCCTAAGACAAGCGACACCAAAGCCATTTCCATTCACCTCGCCCTGCTGGACCTTTTCTGGAGAGATGGGAATTCTTGGAACAGGTAACTTATTCTCTTTTGGGTCTGAGTTTCCATGTCCCAAACCAACCCCTCTGAGTTCCTGCTGGTCTGTCTTGGGCCGACAGCTGTCTGGAAACCCCACCAGTGAGAATCCTGCCTAAGACTGTTTTTACTCCGAAACGCCACAACTCCAGAAGGCTGTGGAAAACATAAGTCTGCAGCTGAGAATCATAAAAAGTTCAGAAGACTGGCACATCCTAGGAGAAACGAAATCCACGGGAGTGACTAAGCCTGAAGAAGTGGAAGTTACTTACCGGGGTAGGAGCACCCAGACCTCATTCCCCCAGAACTGCCAGAGGCGAGGATGTGAACCGTCTGGGAAGCTTGAGGGGAGTCCTGGACCCCTCCAAGACTGCAGGGTCTGGGGCTCAAGGGAGCCCAACAAGGACACCCTGATGCCTCTGCTGGTGCCCTCGGTGCCCCTGACTGGGTGAGTCCAGATCCACTCAGGTTGTCTTAGATTCTGTCTGATCCTCTTTGAGAGCCAGGGTGTTGAGCTGGAACTTTCTAGAAGATTCCCAATTCCTGCAGCTCCTCGATTCAAGAGAAAGAGGGCAAGTACCCAGTTGAGAGGCAGAAGCCAAGTTTTGTCAGGTGTTCCGCAGTTCACTGCCTCAGGTGATTTAAGAAGGCTGTGCCCGAGGAGATGCATGGGAGAAGGGCTAAGGCTCCTTAAAGGCCTCAGCTGATAAAGACTCTAAACTTCCGTGCAGTCTCACCAATGCTGCCAAGTACAGCTGTGCAAGGCATGCACTGCACAAGGGTGTCTGGGTGGGGCTGAACTCACCAAGCCTTGACTCTGACTGTGCCCAACCAGACAGGCACCTTCTTCCACTTCTCATAAAGGCACTCTATGGGCTAGAAGCCACATTCCACCTCAGCGAAGGAAATCAAGGTGATAGGCATCCTTGAGTGACCTGACTCAGTCACTGAATGGCCTCTACACCCCCAAGTTCTTGGTTTTCCTGAGCTGCCAGCAGCAGAGCTGTAGCCAAATTCTAACATGGAGGCAGCGAGCTCATGAAGCTTGCCCCTCGCTAGGAATACCTCTTCAGGTCATGGTCCTGCTCTCTGCTTCCTCCAACACTAGGTCATCATTGTCATAGCCACTACCGTCTCAACATCTTACTTTAAGAAATAAACTGTTTGCCTGTGGTCCCAGCACTTCGGGAGGCCGAGGCAGGTGGATCATGAGGTCAGGAGATCAAGACCATCCTGGCTAACATGGTGAAACCCCGTCTCTACTAAAAAATACAAAAAATTAGCCGAGCGTGGTGGCGGACGCCTATAGTCCCAGCTACTGGGGAGGCTGAGGCAGGAGAATGGCATGAACTCGGGAGGCGGAGCTTGCAGTGAGCCGAGATCGCACCACTGCACCTCCAGCCTGGGGGGCAGAACAAGACTCTGTCTCAAAAAAAACCCAAAATAAATAAAATAAAAATAAAAAAGAAATAAACTGTTGAAAAAGTGTCACTAGGAGCATGGGTCCCGAACCCCCAGGTCCAGTACCAGTCTGTGACCTGTTAGGAAGCAGGCTGCACAGCAGGAGATGAACAGTGGGCCAACGTTCCTGCCTGAGCTCCACCTCCTGTCAGATTAGTGGCAGCATTAGGCTCTCATAGGAGCACAAACCCTACTGTAAACTGCAAATGTGAGGGATCTAGGTTGCACACTTATGAGAATCTAATGCCTGATGATTTCTCACTATCTCCCGTCACTCCCAGATGAGACCATCTAGTTGCAGGAAAAGCAGCTCAGCGCCCTCACTGATTCTACATTATGGTGAGTTGTATAATTATTTCATTATATGACAATGTGATAATAATGGAAATAAAGTACATAATAAGTGTAATGTGTTTGAATCATCTCAAAACCATCCCCCACCCCTGGCCATGGAAAAACTGTCTTCCAGGAAACTGGTCCCTGGTGTCAAAAAGATTGGAGACCGCTGACTTAGGAATACACTCAAGGTAACTATGCTCCCCATTCTTCCCCTTTCCTGAGGCTGTCCCTCCCCATCTCCTTCTCCTGCCACAGTGAAGGGACAGCACAGGTCCTCTGTGTCCCAGAGCCCCCTCTTCCATCTTGCCTATGATGAGGGTACCCAGCCCACCTGTCCCAACCCGAGGACGCTCAGAAAACACCGAGTTTTTCACTGGGACAGACCTAGGCATCACTTCCAATGCTTCTCCAGGGACCATTGGGCAGGGCAGGATCTTGGGAATCAGGGACCTGGTTCCAGTCCTATGTGACCCTGCAAAGGCCACTCCTTGTCTCTGGGCTGTGTGCGCCTCTGTCGAACATCTCAGCTCTGACTGCAGCAGGTCTTCTCACCAAAGGAGCCATGGAACCCCTCCTTCTGCCATTTCCTCCAAGGAGGGAAAGGGGCAGAGGCAGATCCAGGCCACTTGGCCCTCTAAGGACATTAGAACCTCAGCGCTGCCTGTCCTCTGATGGCAGCGAGCCAGGATCATTGCCAGGAGAGAGCCGGTGAGACCACAATGTGCAAGGCAGCCAGGTAGCCTGTTACAAGGCCACAGGACTGCACCAGGTACTAGCACCTACCTGGTGCCAGGTGAGACGAGAGCCCCTCCATGCTTCCCTCTCTGTGGCCCCTGCTCTCTGCTGCCCACTCATAGGAAGTGTGATAGTCAACTGTACGTGTTTATACATGTAAATCTCCTTTTGATTCTGTTTCTCTGGAGAAGCCTGGCTTATAATACAGGAAGTAACATCCCCACGGGAAGACATTAAGAGCCTTAAGTAGGAAATTATGAACCAATCTCAGGAGCATCTCACTGTCATGCTGAGTCCACTGTAGGCCCTGCCATAGGAACGCAGAGCTTCAATCTTCAACAATCTTCAACACCTGGGCCCCGGCAGGTGCAGTGCAGGAGGACTGCTGGCTACCCCCTGCCCTCCCCCATGATGGCCTGGCAGAAGCAGGTGTCTGTGGGTGGGCGAGATGGTCCTGGCATTCAGCAGAGGAGGGGAGATATGTCTCCTCCCCGAGCCCTGTCTGTGCTTGTCCTCATCCTGCATCTGAGCTACGGGCCCTCCAGACAGTGGGGCAGGCAGCTCCAGGCTCACCATTTACAAGGAGGGAATCAGAAACAGAGGTTTTGTTTTCAGCCGCCCAGCCCACCACAGAGCTCTGCCTCCCCAGGAGCACCTGCAGCTCCTGTTTCTCTGACTCCCCCATCATCTACAACACAGCCCTTTCCACAGTCTGCACCCACAGGGGACTCCCCAGGTCCCCATGGGGAAAGGGGTGTTGGAGGGCTGCCAGGTGCATGGTGTGTGCTGGGCGGTCCAGGTCCAGGGCAGGAATTCTGACCGTTATGCTTGGTGCGGGGCAGCCTCTCCTGGGCCTTTACCTGCCCCTGGCACCAAGGGAGAGAAACCTGCCCCACTCCTGTCCCTTTCTGTCGGGCAGGGCCTGAACCTGGGGCTCCAGGAGGCCGTGACTGCATAGACAGAAACTAAGGGCAGTGGGGTGGGACGGGGGGCATCACAGGTTGCCAACTTCCCAGGCTGCAAGTGCTGGCTCCCTGTGGTGCTGGGTGTCCCTCGGTGGATGAGGGCTGTCCTGCAAGCCTCCTTGGCACCTGTATCTGTGGGCGGAGGCTCCATGGGGACAGCGGCTGTAGGGTAGGAATGTGCAATGCATGGGGTCCCAAGATAGCTGGGGGCACTTCCTACAGGTCCCTGGCATGCTCTGGGAGAGATCTGGGCTGAGGGCCGTGGGAAGGCCAAGTGGGTAGGAGAGGGACAGGCTTGAGGACCAGGGCCGCTGGGAGGCGCTGGCAGAGCAGGTCAGGCAAAGCCCACCTAGGAAGTGGGGGAGATGGGGCTACCCACAGCTCCTGGGCCTAGTGCCTGTGTCCACTCATGAGCCCCACTGAGGAAAGGGGTTTGCCCAGCAGTCAGTGTGTGTGTGCCCTGCACCTGTGTAGGCCCCCATGGCCAGAGACAAGGGCAGAGCTGGAATCCGACCATGGCCAGCCCTGCAATCACTTGCCAGTCCTCTATGGCATCAGTGGCTGATCTGAGCCCTTCTAGAAATGAGCGCCTTGGCCAACCCTGCCTTCCCTACTTGTTCCAACTGGTGCCAGCTCCGCTTAGGTGCCCAGGGACGTCTGCTGAGTGAAAGAACCGAGTACTAGTGCACAGTCAGGTGCCAGGCAGGGTCCTTGCCCTCTGAAGGCAAAGGCCCTGAAGCTTGGCTGGGGCTGGCAGGTCTGGGTCTCTGTGGACAGGACAGAGGCCGGAATGGGGACAGGCTCCATCCAGATGAGCATGGAGAGTAGCCCCTCAGAAAAGGCAGAGCGGAAAGTAGAGGGAGGGGAGAGAGACCAGATGTGCGAGGGGGCCAGAGCAGCCCCCACAGTAGGCGGAAAGGTGGCAAGGGAGCCAGGCACTGAGTTATGTGGGCAGTGGGTCCCAGCAGAGCCTGCCCCAGCCTCATTCCCCTCCCCAGTGCTCTGAGATGAATGGCTTATGGCACACAGGGCAGCTCGGGCCTCTGTGAGTGCTGTGCTTTGCTCATGTGTGAAAGTCTGCAGGTTCCCTGGTTCTGGCCTCTGCCCCTGGCACCCTGTGATGAGGCCTTTCACCCTCCATCAGCTACGACTGCGGTCAGCACAGACAGGTTGGCCTCAGCTGTATGGGGGTCGGCCCCAGTTACCTGGTGGGGAGGTATCTGTGTCCCCTCTCTGTCCTGGGACCGCTGCATCCCAGCTCTTGCACCAGCTGAGGCCAAGGTGGGTGAACTTAGGGCTCGAATGTGAATCTGGCTCAGGGCCTGGAAGAAATAACTGACCACACATGGGAATGAAGGGGTCTTTCCAAAACCACAGGCACCTGCTGGAATCTCAGAGGTGGTAGTGAACCTCAGGGGTCATTTCACCCACCACGCCTTCGTTCTGGAGATGGGGAAACCGAGGCTAGAGAAGGGAAAGGGCTGGGCAAGTTAGGGTTTCCACTGGGGCCAGAACTGAGGGTTCCTGGCTCCCAGTGAAGCCAGCCTCCCTTCTGTGCCAGGCTGTGCACCTGTACTGGTGCTGGCTTCTGGGGTCTTTGCCATCCCTCCCGGAGGCAGGGAAACAGTTGCTGCCATGGTTTTCTCCTGGTGAGTTGCCTGTTGCATCCCCAGTGCCTAGACTGGTGCCTGGAGGAGCAGGAACTCGATTGTTGAATAAATGATTTAACGCATACTGGTTTTTTTTCTTTTCTGCTCATCTAATTTTCTCATTTTTCTATAATTGTATATTGCTTTTATAAAATTTTAAAAACCACCATTTTTACTTTAAGCAACATTCTGTCAGCTTCACAAAACCACCTAATGAGGCCAAGCGCGGTGGCTCATGCCTGTAATCCCAGCACTTTGGGAGGTCGAGGCGGGTGGATCACGAGGTCAAGAGATCAAGACCATCCTGGCCAACATGGTGAAAGCCCATCTCTACTAAAAATACAAAAATTAGCTGGGCATGGTGGTGTGTACCTGTAATCCCAGCTACTCAAGAGGCTGAGGCAGGAGAATCGCTTGAACCTGGGAGGCAGAGGTTGTAGTGAGCTGAGATGGCGCCACTGCACTCCAGCCTGGCGACACAGCGAGACCCCATTTCAAAAACAAACAAACAAACAACAAACAAAAAACCCCACCACCTAAGGAGCAAAATAAACATGAGAAAATGCTTTGTGGACTAGAAAGCCATGTGCAGATGGGGGAGGTGTCCCTAATGCCTGCTCCCCTGCCCAAGGCACGGCTGACACTCAGACAATCAAATTGAGCTGGGCGCCCTTCTTGACCGTCACCAACCGCTTCCAGTTCTCACAGCCCCACTCCCCAACCTTCCCGCTGGCAAAGGATGGGAGGCTGCAGAGGGGAGCTGACCAAGATTCGGCAGAAGAACAAGAGTCTGCTTCTCACCCAGGGAAGCGGAAAACACACAGCAGGGAAGAGACAGTGAAAGAAACAGAGACACCAAGAGAAGCCGCAGGGAGTGGGAGGCAGAGAGGCAGAAGGACACGCGGACGCTGCCTGGACACCGAGGGTCGAGCAGGGGCAAGGGGCAGCTCTGAAGGTGGCCCCGGCATACACTCACACACAAGGGCACTCCCCACACTCAGCTGCGCTCCCATGTCTCTCCTGGTTAAGATAAAGTTAGAAACATCAAAATGCCACATCTCTTTGAGCAGCAGCCGCCGGCAGAGCTCCATATGGCTGCAGCAGCCAGGAGTCTGAGCTAATAAAAGTTAAAAAAAAAAAAAAAAAAAAAAAAAGCTGGGAAATGCTCCTGGAGAGCCACGTGGGCACTGCTCGGGGCTGGGTGGGGGTGGGGAGGAGAGCAGGCACCACAGGAGGGGGGTCCCCGCCCCTGCTTGGCGCGCCAAGGTCTCTGTTCTCATTTAGAACACCCAGCCCTTTTAGTAATGATGAGTCCAAGATGCAGCAACCAAATCTGCTGTTTTAGATGCCTGGGCCCTCTCCTACCTCCATTCCAGTTTCTCTTAATGGGAGAGGACATGACAGTCAGTGCTGAATGTTTGCGTCCCCTCCTCTCCACTCCCAAATGTATATGTTGAACTCCTAACCCCCAAGGTGATGGTATTGGGAGGTGGGGCCTACAGGAGGTGATTCGGTCATGAGGCTGAAGCCCTCATGAATGGGATTAGTGCCCATATAAAAGAGACCCAGACAGACCCTTCATTCCTTCCACCATGCGAGAATGCAGCGAGAGGGCACCATCACCAGAAAGCAGCCTCGCCAGTGAATCTGCCAGCACCTTCATCTTGAACTTTTCAGACTCCAGACTGTAAGAAATAAATACCTGCTGTTTATAAGCCACCCAGTTTATGGTATTTTGTTATAGCAGCCTGAAAGGACTAAGACAGTCTTCGAGAACAGCCAGGAGGAGCCAGGACCAGCAGAGAGAGAGAGAGAGAGAGAGTGTGTGTGTGTGTGTGTGTGCGCGCGCGCGCACATGCGTGGTTTTCTTGCAGGGCACCAGCAGCCCTGCTCTTGGTGAGGAAGGGGAGCCAGATGGCTGGCTGAGGATCCCCACACTAGGCGGAGAATCTCCAATGCTGACCCCACCCCCTCTGCATCCTGATGGGGGAGCTGGAGAAGACCCTGGTCACTAGATAACCCTTCTTCAAGGAGCCTCTCCCCTGCAGACAGGGTGTGGGGATGCAGGGAGGAGTCATGGCTTCCACCCCACAGGTTACAGGGGGATGGGGGAATATCCCGGCCCATGCTCACAGTAGAAACACTTTAGAAGTCTGAGCCAAACCCCACTGTCTCCTGCGAGAGAATGCCAGGGACAGAGGCTGGAGGAAGTGTGTGCCTGATGGGAAGTTTCAATCCATTCTGTAAGAATTTCCTGAAAACAGATTGTGTGCCAGTTTTTATGGCCTCTGCCCCAGAAAAGCACGCATGGCAACGAAATGACCCTGGGGGAGGGGAGGGTGCACCCACCCTGATGGTCCATGGATAGAGGCCAGGGTACTTTAGGACTTCTGAAGACAGCAAAGCAGCTTCTGGTAATCTCTGAGGAGGTGGCATTTGTTCCAGAAAAAAGGACCCTGTAACCCCACCCCACCACCTCACCAGACCCTAAAGTCAGAATAACTGGCCCAGCTACAGCCCCTGCAGTCGTGCTTAGCCACTACAGAGGCTGCTATTTCCCCAGTCACTGTCCCTGGCAGCCTTGGAAACCAATGAAGCAGGCTCGACACAGGAATCCCTCTGCATCTTTATCACTGGAAAAGCCTCGATCCAGCCCAGGCGGAGAGCGGCGGATTTTAAAAAGGGAGGTTTCTCTTTGTGGAGGAAATGAACATGATTCAGCACAAGAGCCGATCAGGAATGTGGAGGCCAGGCTCTCCCATCAGGCTCCACTCCCCTCCCGCCACCTCGGCAGAGGCCCCAGACTGCACCTGCCGGATGGGATCCCGTGGTGCCACGGAGCCTGGGCACCATGCCACTCCTCTCTCCAAGAACACCACCACCTGGCAGGCTGCCAGGAACAGCCAAGCCCTGTGGACATCACTCCCAGAAATCCAACCACACGGAAAACAAACGTGCTGTGTCTCATGACAGTACTAACAAGCCTGGTAAATCAGCCCACAGTTGCACAGCCGTAGCTGGGGAATCCAAATGCTTTCTGAGGACACACTGACGACAGCAGCAGAGACACACACGCGTACGCACATCTTCACGGCACACAGACTCACTAAGGTATGCCACAAGCCTGCAGGTTTTCAATACCATACAGTGGATAACAGCGGTGGTGGCGGGTCTCCACCCTCAGGAAGCACTAGACCTTATCTGACAAACAAAAGGAAGATCAGGGAAAAACTCTGCATGGACTGAATGCCTCCCAGTGTGGTAGGACCTCAGAGGCACATGGATCTCTGAGCTTAGGCTGACATGCCCAGGAAGGTGGCCCTGGAAAGGTAAGATGCATTCAGTGGAAACAAGAAAAGCATTCCAGGTGGAGGAAGAAGAGCAGGCCCAGCGCAGGGGCCCCCTGCTTGGTGTCTGGTAGACTTCTAACCTGCTCACCTAAAGCGGTGTTCTTAGGTAGGGGTGGGAGGAAAAAGGTGACCTTCAGAGGTCATTATGCTCATCTTTCTGCTTCCAGGTAGTAATGACCTGTCCAGTCTCCACATCTCCAGGGAGTCTCCAGGTGCCTGTCCATTATTCAGCTCCTCTTGAGGGATGAGTTAAACTCTTAGGTCCTGGCTCTGTGGCCCAGGCTGGAGTGCAGTGGCTTGATCTTGGCTCACTGCAACCTCTGCTTCCCAAGCTCAAGCCATCCTCCTACCTCAGTCTCCCAAGTAGCTGGGACTACAAGTGCACACCACCACACCTGGCTAATTTTTGTATTTGCATTTGTAGAGACGCCCATGTTGCTCAGGTTGGTCTTGAACTCATGAGCTCAAGTTATCCGTCTGCCTTAGCCTCCTAAAGTGCTGGAATTACAGGTGTGAGCCATTGCGCCTGGCCTCAGTGGTTCTTGTTGGCATTAGCTGATGTGGCTCCTATTCCCAGGTGCAGAGTGAAGCCAGCCCCACCACCCCAGACAGCAGAGGGAACCAGGATTCCAGGCCCTAACCATACCAATGGGGGACCCAAACAGGTTAATATAGGAACAGCCCTGCTTAAGGGGCGTGCACCATACTTCAAGTAAACCAACCCCATCAGCCTCTTCTCATGGAAAGCTGGGGTGCTGGTGAACATGAAGACAGGGGCTACCTCAGCTGGGTGTGTCCCAGGGAAGCAGATGTCTGTTTCTGCTGCTCCATGACACAGGCTGACAGCTCAGTCCAAAATTTTGAGGACTCAGGGAAACTGCTGGGCTGAAGAGATGACAGCTCACCTTCCAGGTAGCCTAGCACTTGCCCTCTCTCAGTGACGGAAGGTTACTTCTTCTCCAGGCCTCCTTAAAGACAGCAGGCCTGGCTGGGCGTGGTGGCTCACGCCTGTAATCCCAGCACTTTGGGAGGCTGAGGTGGGCGGATCACGAGGTCAGGAGATCGAGACCATCCTGGCTAATGTGGTGAAACTCCGTCTCTACTAAAAATACAAAAAAATTAGCCAGGAGTGGTGGTGGGCACCTGTAGTCCCAGCTACTCAGGAGCCTGAGGCAGGAGAATGGCATGGACCCGGGAGGCGGAGCTTGCAGTGAGCCGAGATCATGCCACTGCACTCCAGCCTGGGCGACAGAGCAAGGCTCCATCTCAAAAAAAAAAAAAAAAAAAAAAGACACCAGGCCTGAGCCCAAAACTTGGGGAAGGACATCTGGGGAAGGGGAAGGCCTGGAAGGATGGCGGCCAGAAAAGGGCAGAGGAACGGCCTCTCCCATCCAAAGCTGGCTTCTTTTATCTCCACGAGCACTTGCTCCAGATGCTTCTAAATGTGCAGTGAGTTTTTGATCCAGACTGAACCCTGGCCAGGTAGATAGAATCCAAAAAATCCTTGGGCCAGGCCTGAGAAAGGATGCCACAACCCTGCCCCTAGTCTGGCCAGACCCAAAGTGAGGCAGATTTTCCTGTTTCTTATCATAGTCACCAAGAGAATGTGTCTTGAATGGCAGCACCAATACCATGTCACACACTTTGTAGCATTTGCTCTGCTCCGTACCCCAGATCCCTCTTTCGGAAACAAAGAAACACAACTCAGAGAGGTTATCTGCTGGGCCCAAGGTCACAGCTGACTGAGGACCGGAAGGCGAGCTGCCTACTTGATCCTTGGCCCTGGATTCTTCTCGGATTACACTCATCTTAAAGGGAAGGGGATTACTTTCTGTTCCTTCAAGGTAGATGCCTGGCATCCTGCCTGCACCCCTGGCCACAGCTCAGGGTCGTCTGTGCTGAATGAGGCTTCCTGATACCTCTGCAGCAAGTGACAAGCTGGAGAGACACCCTCCAAATCTTAGATGCTGAAGAGGGGCATTCAGAAGAAGTGGCACCAGCAGCCACAGTCCTTCAGCCCACCGTGAACTGCCACACATGCACCCGGGTTGGGTCTCTCTTTCCAGATCCCCAGCCTGGAGCAAGTCACAGCAGGCAGAACAGTGGTATGGGACTGGAGCAGAGATTCTGAACTTGGAGTCTGTAGCTGGGTTTCAGGGGCTTTGTGAACCCTCCGAAATTGCCTGTGAGATCGCGTGAGTCAGTGCATTTGTCTGGGAAGACTGTGTGTAGCTCTTTCAGAGCCTCAAAAAGATCAAGGACTCGAAGAGGCTAAGAAGCACAGGAACAAAGGCTCCTGAGGCCCCACCAGCCATATGGCTCTGGGCATACACAAATCCAGCAGCGAAATCCACGTTATCAAATGCAGGAGAACATGCTGTGTGAATGGAGGTGAGGGCTACTGTCCTCGCTGCTGTGCCTGCTCACTGACACCCACTCCAGAGGCCTGCATGACATTCCTGCAGAACTCAGTGTCCCATGCTTTGCAGACCCCTGTCTTTACTGGCTGTCTTGCTGGTCTGACCCCAGTGAGGCTTGGGTGTTCTCATGGCTCTCACTGGCTGCTCATTCCCTTTCTGAACATCACCACCTCCAGACTAGAGGAGGAAACTGGAATGGAAAGGAAAATGCAATTTGGGAGAAAGAGCCACTTCAGTGCACAGCACAAATCCAGCTGGACATTCCTCCAAATGGCCTCAGGGTCCTAGAAAGCCACCTCTCTGTCACAGGCATGTGAACACTCCTGTGCTCCACTCCCACACTGCTCAAGGCCCATGACCACTTCCTGGAGGTGTCCTGCTTCATCCGTTCCAGGACACACAGGGCAGCTCCAGGCCCACGGCCCTCACATCCCCAGCCAGCGGTTAAAGGAGCCCAACACGAGCCCAGAGCCTGAGGACCTGCTGCTTTCACAGAAAAGGGGGAAGTCTGATAAGCCCCTTCCCACCCCCCATCAGTCCTTCCAGTCCTCCCAGTCCTGCAGCTGAGGCGGGTACCAGGACACCAATAAGATCCATGTGCAGATGTCTGAGGAAATGCTTCTTGTTTCAAGGATCCCACAGTGGGGCTGCAGGGGCTTATCTACTCCCCTGCAAGGCAGGCAGAAGCTCAATGGTCCCAGGATGTGGAATCGTACTCAGCCATACAGGGACTGGGGAGCCCAAAGTATCTGCCCACTTTGGGTCCAGTCTCCTCCCGTGGGTCTCCAAGCGACCCTCCATCATGCGAGCTTCACTCTGGTCTTTCACCCTCCAAGAAGTGCTTGCCAGCTCCCTCTGCTCTTCTGTATCCCCCAAAGCACCCACTGCAGGGTGGGGGAAACAGCATGTGATCAGGAAAACCTTACTGTATGGTGTGTAAATGGGATACCATGGTCTGGAAAACCCATTCTTCTGTTTAAAAGTGAAAGAGTTACTATAAAGGCCCTATGTCAGTTTCCAATTTTCAAAAGACAAAGAAATACACACTGCTAAAGTTAAGTGGTGCATAATGTCATCTTTCTTTGATGACTGAACTCAGAGAAGGCACATGGGGATCTGGCAGCGTTTTGGGCATCATTCTGGAGGTTGTTGGGAAAAGCAGAGGCAGGAGCAGAAGTCTCACATCTTCCCAAGTCCCCACGTCTCTGCTTGCCTCTCCCTGTGCAGTGCGCAGCTTGGGGACACATACTTTAGGGTAAGAGCGCACCAGATACAAAGGTGGTGGAGAGAGCTGCAGAACCCAGGAGGGATGTGGGTCTGATTAGATTTTGGAAGCTCCTCCCAGGAAGGTGCTCCTACAGCCTCTTTCATCAGTGACTGGAAAACCTCAGAAAGGTCACCTGAGATTTTCCCTCTGCCATCCACGGTAGACTCCACCTCTAATGGGGTCAGTCTAGCAAGAATATGGGGCCTGGATTGTCTACCCCCCAAAGCCAGGCCAAGACAAGCTGTTTGGTGATGCAAGAGAGCAGCTTTGCACTCCCCTGCCTGACTTATACTCAACAAAATGCATGGCATGGGCCATGCTCCTCTCCCCACCAAAGACACTGAGAAAGGAAAACAAGCCACAGAGAGGTGAGTGACAGCATTAGCCCCAGGGTAGCCCCAAAGCACTGGCCAATTCTGCAACATCTGTCCCTAGCCAGTGGGGCAGGCACAGGCTAAGGACAGAGTCCTGGCAGCCTCCTGAAGTTCTTGCTGGCCAGGTGGTCACGCAGGACACCAAATCCAGCTCTCCTGTCTCTACAGCTTTCCGCAGGGGCTTATGGTTGAGGATCTGCCAAAGTTAGTCAGGGGAGAGGAAACAGTCTCCTTGAACTACAATCCAGGATGCCTCCCAGGAGAGTGAAGGACCTAGCGACTGGAATCTCATTGGCCCCAGGGCTGTGTCCCTGGACTGGCTCTCGGGAAGCCAAGCCAGGTCCAACTGATAACCGCATTCCTTGAGGACCCTCGGCAGGGAGTGACTGCCAGTGGGCAGACCGGAAGAAAAGAGCCCTGGCCCAGATCAGGCAGGCATCCCTGCTTCCCCGCCCACCGACTATCCCCGGAGACCAGCCTTCTTCTCTGCCTGTGGAGGAGAGCAGTGGGGACATTATGCCAACAGGTCCCCTTTGGCGGGCCTCACCGGCCAGCCTTCCTCCACCCTGCCCTGAGGCCCCAAATTCAGCGGGAGCACCGAGGCACCTGCTGCCAGACACTGCTCCATCCCCGCGGAAGGGGGCTTTGGGCGGTGCCCCTCGGTGCCCCCAGCTTCCTCGGTTAGGGGTGAGGCGCCCCCTGGCCCGGCGCGCCCCCCGCGCCCCCTCCCCGCGCTCACCTGGCGCAGGTGCTGCAGCAGTGTCCCCGCCTCCTCCCGCCGGCCCTGGCGCACCATCCGCAGCAGCTCCTGGACCATGCCGACGCGCCGGTGGTAGGGGGGCAGCCCCGCGCCCGCGCGCCCCGCCTTGTCCCCGGCGCGCAGCAGCAGCGACGCCCAGAAGTCGGGCCGTTCGCGGCGGGGGCCCGGCGCAGCGCCGGGGCTGGCTCTCTCCGCCAGGCTGCCCTTGGTCTGCCGGGTGCCCATGCTGCCGCCGCCGCCTGCCGGGACTCTCTGCGCTGGGCCGCGAGGCCGCGTCCCCGCCAACCGCCCGCCCCTCGGCCGCCGAGGCCGCGCCCGCGCTCCCGAGCTGCAACTTTGGGGAAGCTGTTGGCCGCCGGCGGCGGCGCCCGGGGGGCCGGCGGGCGCTGTCGGCGGTCCGCGCTCCTCCCTTTGGCTACCCGGCGCGCGCTCCCGGGCGCTCGCTGCCTGCCTGCCCGCCGGCCCCGCCCCGGCCCGGCCGCCCGCCCCGCCCCCCGCCTCCGCGCCCGAGCTCCGCGGCGCCGCGCGCCTCCCTCCCCCCGCGCTCCGGCTCCTTCCCTCCCCGCGGCTCCGGGCGGGGGACCGCCAGGCGCTCCCTGCCTGCGTCCTCCTGGCAGTCGCGCCTCCTGCTGGCGGCAGCGCTGCGCTTCCCGGGGCCGTGGCGTGGGGGCGAGGGGAACGGGCAGGCCCCATGGGTGGTCGCTTTCGGTGCCCAACGGGCTCCCCCGACTCTTCCACCACCGCGAGCCCGAGTCAGGCCCGCGGGAGGCGTCCGGTGCGTCGGGCGAGATGGGGAAAGTTTGGCGCATAGGGGTATGTGTGTTGGGGGTCTCTCTCAGGCCGAATCGGGTTTCTCAAGGTGGGTTCCGCTGAGCCTTAACGCCCAAATCGTCGGAGGCGCTGATTAAAAACACAGACTCCCAGGCCTCCCCCGAGACCTACTGAATGATAATCACCTTGGTGCTGGGATCCGCCTTTTTAGCCAGCGTCTTGGGTGATTCCCATGCACGCTCCTTTGAGACCCGGCCTGCTTGCAGGGCGCTGTAGTGGTGATGGTTGGTGCGCGAACCTGGAAACTGTGTGCGAACTTATGTGTTGTGTGCGTGCCCTTTCATGGAGAGGGCGTGTTGCTTCCATCATGCTCTCAAAGCATCTGGACCGGAGAGGTGTGAACTCCTGTGTTCTCTTGCTCTCACTTTCACAGCCCTGGAGAAGGGGCCCTGGGATAGTCCTGGTACAACAAAGCAAACGCAAGTTTGCGAGTTGGCCCAGCGGCACACCCCTGCTGGCCCACCTTCCTCCCCGTGCCTCTGCCAGGCCCAGCCTGTAAGGGACCAGAGCCCTGGGATCTCATGGTGTTGCCAGGGCATGCCAGAGTGAAGGCGAAGGCACGTGGGGGAGCTTCTCTGTTGCAGACCACAGGCCGCCCTGGTCCCTGCGCAGGGCAGAGCAATTGTGCAAGGTCGCCTCTGACCCCAGCGCTGGGTGTTGCTTGAGGGTGTAAGGGCACATGGGCTGTAGGGGCAGGAGGCTGGATCCCAAATCACAGGAAGCCGAGCCCCACTACTTAGCCCTGAGTATCAGGCGAGTGTTCAGTTTATTCTTTTTTTTTTTTTTCTTGAGACGGAGTTTTGCTCTTGTTGCCCAAGCTGGAGTGCAGTGGCACGATCTCGGCTCACCACAACCTCCGTCTCCCAGGTTCAAGCAATTCTGCCTCAGCCTCCCGAGTAGCTGGGATTACAGGCATGCACCACCACACCCGGCTAGTTTTGTATTTTAATAGAGACGGTGTTTCTCCATGTTGAGGCTGATCTTGAACTCCTGACCTCAGGTGATCCGCCCGCCTCGGCCTCCCAAAGTGCTGGGATTACAGGCGTGAGCTACTGCGCCTGGCCGCCTTCAGCTTCTTGAGTCCTGCTTCTTTCTCTGTCAGGCTGGGATAATAACACTGCCAAGAATTGGGAGAGTAAAATCGGTGGACACTGCTAGAGGAAAAAATTCTTTAATGACATGAGTTAAAGTATTGTAAGGAAGACTTTATTCAGGACCATTACCATAGGTGTAGGGACCGCTGCAATGAGATTTTGCAGTTGTGGGGAAAGAGAGATTGAGCTCAACTCCAATTATAGCATGGGCAAGTGGGAATTCATTGCCAAGGAGCAGGGTGAGGGTCAGTGGATAGAAATTTACTAAGGGAAACATCAGGACTGAGGGGGATTCTGGCTAAACAGGGTGTATAGAGCACCCTTGACATAAGTAACTCCATCTTAGGAAAAGGGTTCGTTTTACATTTGAAAAAACCCTATGCCAACGGGAACCAGATGTTCGCCTAATCAATAAAGACTGCACCCCACCAGATAAGGACATAAACAGGCACACTCTTTACTATCAGTCCTTGCCAGAGGACTCTGGCCATAAGGAGCAGGACTTCAGCAACTGGAGATGACCGTCTGGCTAGACCCCATCTTGCCCACACTCTGTGGATATCAAAGACTCTTCCTTGCAAGACATTGAGGACTGTTTGGATCAGGCCAGGAGTCTCTTCTTGTCCAAGTCACTCTCCTTGGACTGTATTGTTAACCCCTTCTTCCCTATCCCCTTTTCTTTTGACGTGAAATGTTACTTTGATGTGGAATGTGTAATCTATAACATTGATATATTGATTAAGTATACTACCATGTATGGTTTGCAATATTGACTGACTTGTGGAGTGACTTGGGCCTGTGTGCCCGTAGCTCTTATTACCAAGTGAATGGGGGAATACGAAGGAGAATTTGCCTCCTTGAGAACTCCAGGTAGCTTGTGGCTTGCTTGTGGCTTTTATGACTGAAATAGCATCAATAAAAGCCGGACGTTGTAGAAAGACACACATGTGCATGAACCTGATTATTTCTGACCTTGTGCCACTCACAACACCAGCCTAGCAGAATTCTTGCTTTAGACAGGCCAGGTGACCAGACATCACCTGGGGGAGGGTGGGGAATGATAAACCTAATCAGATATTGAAGATGATCAGATATACAAGATGGAGGGTTCTTGCTAAACTGGCTTAACAGGGTTCTTTGCTAAAACTGGATTTTACATGGGAGTGCACAGAGGGTCTAGGAGAAGGTTTGGGAGCCTGACTAAAGTTTGGCCAAGCAAAGAGTCTTTGTCAGTATATAAACTTCAAGCAGAGTAGAGGTGTTCTGCAAATGAGAGTTCCTCTTCCTGCTCTGTGATCACGGGTTTTCCATGGGTGTCTTCTCCATTATCCCTGAGTACCTTGAGTATGAGTCCTGGCATCTCTCCTGCAGGCTTTCTCTTCCCTTTGGCTACCCCACTCCCAAATGTCCATCTCTGCCAGCAGAGAACACTCAGCCTTCCTACAAGCTGGCTTTGCAGGGCTTGGACAGCACTTTCCAAACTTACCTGAACCCTTTGTATACAGAACACACCTGCTGGCATCTGCAGATAACCCAGCTTGAAAAATACTTAGGTGTCTCTCATCTCTGGTCTGCAGGACCGCCAGAAAGAGTGACCACCAAGGAAACCTACTGACCAGGCCCCTCCCTGCAGACAGTGAGCTCTACCCACCTGGAGACGGACCACACAACCTAGATAGCCTGTTGGCCTGCTTGAGGGTGTGTGGTGGGGGCAAATGCCATTTCAGTGGGTGAGGGCCTAGACCAGCCCGTCACTTGGGATCTAAATATTAGCCCTCTCCTCTTTTTCAGAGACCTGATTCTATCCTCCTCCCCTTGCTCTTAATTTTTTTACTGTGACCTTTCCTCTTTTCTGGTTTGTTCTCCTCAAGATATGCTCTACTCAAGTCTCTTCCATCTATCTGAAAAATTTCATTTGCCTCTGCCTGCTTCAGTCACCAGTGCCCTACCTTTATTCTTCCTTTTCAGCTAAGGTTTTTAGTTATTATCATTGCTCCCTCCCTCCCTCCCTCCCTCCCTTCCTTCCTTCCATCCTTTCTTCCATTTTTCTTCCTTCTTTCCTTCCTTCCTTCCTCCCTTTTTTTTCTCTATCTCTCTGTCTTCCTCCCTCCCTTCTTTCTTTTTTTTGAGACAGGGTCTTGCCCTGACGCCCAGGCTGGAGTGCAGTGGCACCATCACGGTTCACTGCAACCTTGACCTCCTGGGCTCAAGCTAGCCTCCCACTTCAGTCTCCCAAGTAGCTAGGATCACAGGTCCATCGCTCCAGGCCCAACTAATTTTTGTAATTTTTTTGTGGAGATGGGGTTTTGCCATGTTGCCCAGGCTGGTCTCAAACTCCTGTTGGCCCCCAAAGTGCTGGGATTAAACCAGGGTGTGTGGAGTCACACACCCAGCCCTGTTGGTCAATTCTTTCTTTTACCTCCATTCATTCCTCACCCCATTTCATGGCTTCTGGCCACAGCCAGTCATAAAATGTCTC